TTTTCTTAAAAATGCTGGCAGAGCTCAAAATTGGCACCAAGCAGCAAATATCTCCACCCAACCAACCAAACCACTGGAGCTGGGGTTGAAATGGGGGAGGTCTCTTAGGGCACATGCAAAAATGGAGTTTTCCTGGTTCTGGTTTCTGTTTGGAAGCCCAAGGCTCCACAGCCCACCCACCCCTGTTTCTCAATGTCTTCCTTCAGTCTTTGCAATTAGACATTTTGACTTAGGGAACTGACTTTATCTGAAAAGTTGGGTCCATTGTTGCAGTTGACTTTTTGGGTTCCTTTGGAGGAGATGGTTCCATGGGTCTGGGTCCTGCAAGAAGATGGCCCCCCAGCTGCTGATAGAAAGATCCTGAGCTGCTGCCTGACTCCTATCATAGGTCTTTCTCTGGTGGTGACCACATGGCCTTTTGCTCTAACTCTTGTCATAGCCCTCCCTATCGTGCGGTCACTTTGACCTTGAGCTGGGGTTACTGATAAGGCCTTAAGTGATCTTCTTACCTTTAGTCTTTTCCCCTCCATTATCCTCACTGAAGTGCTTTTTCTGTAACTCAAATTTGATTATTTCAGTGTCTTGTTTAATACTTAGCTGTGGCTCCCTATTTTCTAGATACACTCTAAACCCCTTAACCTGGTACACCTGGGCCTTCGTGATCTGGGACCTGCTTTTCGTTTGGACCATCTTGAGGCAACTACACTAACATCCTCTCTGCAGTGGCAGCCTAGCCTATCTATATGTAGCCCAACTGAAGTACTTTCAAGACATGGCTATTTTCTCTTATTTTTGGGGTGTCTTTGCAAATGCTTTTCTTTTGCTTGCCTTGCCATGCATATTCTATAGCATTGCTTCTCAAACTTGAGTGTGCTTTGAATCACCTGAAGGGCTTTTTAAACCATGGCTTCCTGGGTTCTAATCCCAGACTTTATGATTCACTGGATGTGAGGTAGAACCTGAGGTTCTGTATTTCTAACAAGTCTCCAGGTGATGCTGATGTTGGTGGTCTGGGGGCCACACTTTAAGTAACAAAGCTAGAGTACCCTGTCTTACCATAGCTTGTACTGAACTGTTTTGAGATTGCCTGTAATTCTCCCTAACTGAACTCTAGGCTTCCTGGGAAAAAGAATCTTTGCCCATCAGGGTATTCCTAGTGACTAGTGTCTGGGATATTGTTGGTGTTTAATAACTATCTATGAATGATTGAAGGATCACTGTTTATGCAGCAGAGTTCAGATCATTTTGCTTCTTGTAATGGATCAGCTTTCTTTTGGGATATTTCAGGCTCAGGGTATGTGGAATGTGATTTGCCCCTTCCATATGCCCTTACTTGTCCCTGAAATACTCACTTAATGGATACGGAACTTGAGAATTCCCAATAGCGATCAGACCATTGGTGAACCACAGGAAGACAGGGACTTCTTTTGATAGATCTCATATGAACTGGATTGATAAGTTTTCTTTCATTAAGCACAACATGGAGTAGCATTTCTACATCTCTTTTGATACAAGAAATACCCCTGAACTTACCAGAGCCTGTCAAAAAGTGGACCTCATACTAATTTTTAGCACCTGAGATGTGCCTTCCAGGTACTGTATCTGTAATAAAGGAGTGTATTACAGTTCTAGCCCTCCAGGTTGAAACCTGAGTGAAGATAACCAAGAACAATAAATGTCCAAAACTGAAATACTTAATGTAAGTATAATAAGGATTCATATTTTTTATGATGCTTAAATCACTTGGTTTATAAATCAGTTAAAAACATGCTGTGAGAAGCAGGGAGAGAGATGGGGATAGGCTAACATATTTAGTGAAAGCCATTAGAAGGGCCACACAATGTACAGGGTACACGATATTTACATGCTCTCTTTCGTTGTTGAAAGACCTTTTTGGTTTTAGGGAACAGGAACTATTCTTTCCAGCTTAAGTTTTCTTGAAAAGGAGGAGGGGTTGGGATTCATGTTGGAATCCAAGAAATGAGAGGAAAGGAGTGACCCCATAGTCCTGAGAAGCAGGACCTGTTCTTGGTTGTTCATACCTGTTCTGCCATGAACAGGCCCTTGCCCTAGTTGCCTTGAGTTGGCTTTGCTGTCCACTTACTTGGTTGTCAACAAGCATCCTAAGCCCCTACCCTTTCTAGTACTTCTCTACCTCACAGATTCTGCTTATGCTTGTCTCTGGCTCCCACATGACTTGAAGTCCCACGTGGCCTTTATTCCACATCATGACCCTGACATCTACAGAAGGTACAGCTGTTCAAGTTCTGCTCTCCCTGCTTGTTGGTCTTAACATTTCTTATCCACATCCAAAAGAATGAGCATCTGGCCCATGCTGTTCTTACTAGAGCAGAGCTTTCTATGGCAGAACATCTCAGAGGCCAGCAGCTGTGTGCCCCCTGTACTCAGACTCAGTCGGGGGAGACTCAGTCGGGTGAAGTGCACACGTGGCTGCCAGGCCCACCATTAGAGCAGAGCTGGGGGATTGCAGTGCCCTTTGCAGTGCCTGTGGACCTGACAGGTACATCAGAGAAACTTTGTGGAGAGGGACTTGATGGGTAGGATCTGAGCAGGCCGAATCTGAGGAAGGGTGTCCTAGGACATAGACACAAATCGGACCCATGACGAGTGAGCAGTCAGAAGCCTACTGAGAGTGAGAGGAGGAGGCTAGATTATAAGGGCCCTAAAGGCCAGGTGGAGAATGGGAATTTAAAAAATTAGGCAATAGGTCATCCTGTAAACTTTTAAATAGTGGAATTAATCACTGTCTTCTGTCCATTCCTGATTCCTGATGGGAGAAGAGACTCAAGACCTGCTAAGAGACCTCTGATGCCACTCAGGAATGAGGTTACATGGGAGAGGAAGTAGAGTGAGCAGTGGTCATGGAATTGGAGAAAGAACAAACATGGGCTGACATTAACAACAGCAACTGGATATGGCAGCTGCAGTTCCTAGAGGGAAGGAATGTATTCCAGGGCAGAGTAGCTTCCATGTATGAACCAGGGAACACAGCAGCCACACACACCGTAGAGATATTGGCACCTTCATTTTCAGGACAGCAGTAGGACTGAGCATTCCACTTGTGTCCTGCTGACTTTGAGAACCATTCTGCCTGCTTAATTGTTCACTCATAGATGGCCGTTCTTTTCTCTCCTGTCTCCATGCCCAGATTTTTCGGTTCCTTTACTGCAGCTGGTTCTGTCAGTGCTGACCTGGAGAGCAGTGCTCCTGTGAGCTCTACACATTACCATCTGGCCAGGAACCCAGTCCAGCACATGCTCATGGCCTCAACCCTGGGTTCTGCCCCCGGAACCCACTCAGACATCTGGGCTCATTCAGAAAGTGCTGCCTGAAGTGTTTCAGTTTGACTCTGGAATTTCTTGGGAGCCTTTTGGAAAGTTGTGTGGTCCATTGGGTGCTCAGACTGACTTTTGATCTTCCTTGTCTTCTTTCTTTATATTGTTTGTTCCTCACCATAATGAATGGGGGCTTTCTGGAAACAATTCAGACGGAAGCAACACAATTGAAAAAAAAAAAAAACCCTGATATACCAGAGGCTGGCTTTAAACAACAGATTAAAAAAGAGGGAGTTATTTGCTGACTGCTGGGGTTCACTGAAGGGTGTGGGCTAGTCTCTCTAATTCTCTAAGCTTCAGTTTCCTCATCTGGGAAAAGAATAATGGTACCTGTTGTTTCTACCTCTCAAATGGTTTGAGGTCCTGGATGAGATGGGGATGTGTGCAGTGCTTTGTAAATTCCAAAGTACTCTGAATTTGAGGTATTAACTTAATGTGAACAGTGGCTTTCAGGGCATTTAAAAACGGCTTGATTTACATTTAGTAGAAACTCACCTAGTGTGAAAACTTCAAAGATAACATCTCAAGATTATAGCACAGCTCAAAGGTTTATAGTCTCATTTCTTCTCTGAATGTCGTCAGAGGCGAGCCAGGTGTTTCTGGGAAGAATTACTTCCTGGAATGGGGTGTGTGTTTTGAGAGGAAGGGGGTGGAGATGGCCTTCTTTCTTTTCTAGGGATAGTGAGTAGAAAGCCTTCCTAATGATTAATTCCTTGATAGCGTGTTCATTAAGTGGCAACCTGACAGCGTATTAGCAGTAATGCCGCTCCCTTTCTTTCCTACTCTTTTTGTCCTAAAGGCTTACCCTCCTTGTGTTGACCTCTTGGTTCCAAGAAGGTTTCTCTTTGCAGTAGCACCTTAGCCTTTGAGTAGATGGGAGGGATAGAGCAAAGCCCTGGGCTTCTCCTCCTGGAATCATCATTTTTGCTTCTTTCCCCACAGCGTAGCCAAGCTTTGTTTTCTCGGCACCATTTCTCTTGTTCCCTGCATCTTTAAAGCCTCAACTTTGGCTTGCACGCCCCCTAGTGGCATGTCTGATGCACCCCCTGTTACCCCATTTGTTGTGATATCGTTGCTCTTCTCTGAACCCAGCTCCATTACTAAGTATTAACCCCAGTTCACAAATGCAGGATGAGGGGTTGGGTAATCCTGACTTGCCTCTCGAGGGGGACTTGGGAGGTGGGATTTGAATTAGGACTTTTAATTCCCAGATGTACACAATGAGACTGTCTCAGGAAAAAAGAAAAAGATGTTACAGTTATAACTTACCTAGATTATTTTATGGTTTAAAAAGAGTCAATTATTTTACTATCTACTCAGGTATCTGCAAGGATCAAAATGTGGTGAGTATTTGAAGATAAGAATAATCATCTCTCTACCTTTCCTTCATCACATTGGAGACATTTTCGTCACTCACTGAGTGTTTAGTCTTTCATGCTCAGTTCTGTTAACAACTTTGGGGAATACAAAAAAGGACAAAGCATGTCTGCCCTTCAGAAGTTTACATTCTAATTATAAGGTGTTTGAATTATTCCCTTGAGGGAAAAATAAGTATAGTACATGAGACTTTTATTGGTGTTTAATATTTCTACTTCATCTCACTAAAGAGAGATTCTCTAAGCATTTGCTCATTTATTTTTAAAGTCTTTTTCAGTGGAGAGAGAACCACAAGATAACAACAGTAATTACCCGGATGAACCGTGGAGGATAACAGAAGAGCAGCGCGACTACTATGTTAATCAGTTCCGATCCCTTCAGCCAGACCCGAGTTCCTTCATTTCAGGTAATGAAGGCTGAGGAGTGAGAATGTGGATCCCAGATCATTGTCTCATATAAATAACAATACACATCTTGAGAAATAGTTTACACAAAATGCATATGACAACCTTCCGTGACTTCAACTTGTTTCTCTCTAAGATCTAGTTTCTTATCAACTATAAACCATGCAGAAGACGACTTGGGAATGACATTTTATGTTTCAGTTTCAAAGGGGTTAAATAGGAATTTGGTGGAACCTGGTCTGGACCCTGTGATTTATTAGCTGGAACAGTTCTTGAAATGATAAGAGAGTGACACCAAGGCAACACCATTAATTGCTTATTAATTATATTAGAGTTAGAGAAAGATGTAGTATAGCCTTCTAGAGTTAGTGTCACAGTCTCCTTATGTTATGTTAATATGTGCCTTAGAAGTTCAAATTCATGCTCGTTTTCTTTGGCTCAGGACTTTCTCCTCTGGTTTTTCTGAGAGAAATTAAGATACGGGAGGAAAATTGGCCAGCATTTTTATGTCCACATGTCAGTTCTTCTGGGTTGTCTTCAGAAATATGTGTTCTTGTTGAGTTCTTATGTAAAATTCAAGCTGAGAGGAATTGATTTAATTCCTGTGTGCCTACATTTTATTGAGCTGAAGACTAAACAAACAGTGAAAGAGTAGAGTCTGGAAGAAAAATTCATAAAACATTTTTTTTGTACTTCAGTTTTGAAGAATAACAATATGTCCTTGATAATTGTAACCTGACTTTGAAGTGAGAACTAAGACTAATTTTCTTTTGTGAAATAAGGTGTGTAATTGAAATATACTTGTGTAAATGCAGCCATCACTTTCTGATTGGTGGTAACGGCTTTATCGAAGGCAGAATAGTGTAGATACAACAAATTAATTATGTTAATAACATGATTTTAAAGAAATAAGCAGAAACACAGATTGCATGTACAGACTACTTGCTTACCTTACCCACTGCTTAAGTGAATTTCTTCACAATGTATACAAATGATTAGACAAATACAAATAGGTAGCTGTTAGGAATGTTTTTACTTTCCTTTAACTTTATTTTGCAGAATTTCAAACATAGATATAGCTAGAGTGGTTAGTAATGACGAACCCCCATCATGTAGCCCCAGTGGTTTTGTTTTATCTGTATCCTCTCTCACCCCAGATGATTTTGAAGCAATTACCAAATTATTTCATTTGAAAATATGGGGTGAGAAAAAGTAAGTTTACAGTTATGAGTATGGAAAACAGTTTATTCTTGTATTATTATTAATTATTGTATTATTTTTCATATGAACAACTGTAAACCTACTTTTGCCCACCCCTGTATTTCAGGATGTATCTCTAAAGAAAAGGCCTTTTTAAAAAACATAACCATAATTCATTGGCACACATTAAAAAAACATGAATTCCTTAATATTTATTATTAAGTCTTCATTGTTCAAATGTCCCTGATTATCTCACAAATGTCTTTTAAAAAAAACTGAGTTTGACAAAGGCCAAGAGGGGTTCATATACTGTAATTAGGTGGTGTCTCTTTTTAAAAACATCTTTATCTAGATATTCACATACCATAACATTCACTCATTTAAAGTGTACAACTCAGTGGCTTTAGTATTCAGTGTATTCACAGGTTATTTTCACAATCTAAATTTAGAAGACTTTCATTACGTGCCCCCCGATAAACTACCTACTTATTAGCAATTATTCCTCATTCCTGCTCATCCCACCTCCCAGCTGTAACTAATTAATAAGCTATTTTCTTTCTATATACATTTGCCTATTCTTAGCTTTCCATATAAATGAGATGTGGTCTTTTGTGTTTGACCTCTTTCACTTAGCATAGTATTTTTAAGGTCCATCCATGTTGTACTATGTGTCAGTACTTTATTCCTTTTTATGTATGAATAATTCCATTGTATGGATAAACCACATTTTATTTATCTGTTCATCAGTTGATAGGTATTTGAGTTTTTCCCAAATATCTATTTTGGCTATTAATAATACTGCTGTGAACATTTGTGTACAAGAGTTTGTATAGATATATTTTTTTTTATCTTGCATATATACCTAGGAGTGGAAATTCTGAATCATTCAGTAACTATGTTTAATCACTTGAGGAACTGTCAGATTGTTTTCCAAAGTGGTCGCACCATTTTATGTTGCCACCAGCCTTGTATCAGGGTTCTAGTTACTCCACATCCTCACCAACATTTGTTATTACCTGTCTTTTGATTATAGCCATCCCTGGTGTGAAGTGGTATCTCTTTGTGATTATGATTAGTATTTCCCACATGAATAATGACATTGGGCATCCTTTCATGTTCTTACTGGCCATTTGTAAATCTTCTTAGAGGAATGTCTGTTCAAGTCCTTTGTCCCTTTTTTTTTTTTTGAGAGGTAAGAGTTCTTTATATATTCTAGATACAAGTTTCTTATCAAGTATGATTTGCAAATACTTCTTCCCAATCTGTGGCTGTTTATTTTTCTAATGATGTCTTTTGAAGAATAAAAGTTTTTAATTTTGATGATGTCCAGTTTATTTTTTCTTTTCTTGTTTGTGCTTTCGGTGTCATATCTAAGAAATCATTGCCCAAACCGAGGACATGAAATTTTATGTCTACATTGTCCTCTAAGAAGGAATATATATTACAGTTTTATCTCTTACATGTAGGTCTTTGATTTATTTTGAGTTAGTTTTTTATATAGCATGAGATGGGTTCAAATTTATTCATCTAGTTTCACAACCAATGAATTGTTTTAGCATTTCTGTCAAAATTAATTTGACTGCCAATGTGAGGATTTATTTCTGGATGTTAATTCTATTTCACTGACCTATATGTCTAGTCTAATGTCAGTGCCACACTGCCTTGGTTATACTACAAGTAAGTTTTGAAATTAGGGAGTGGGAGTTCTTCAACTTTGTTCTTTTCAGTTTCATTTGTTTTGATTTCAATTTTTAGATATTTTGTTTTTAAATTTGAATTTTATGTAAAATACTTATATGGTTCTGCCCTGGCTGGTGTGGCTCAGTTGGTTGGAGTGTTGTCCTGTATACCGAAAACTTGCGGGCTCCGTTCCCAGTCAGGGCACATATCTAGATTTTTGGTTTGATTACCTGGGTCTCAGGGCATATATGGAAAGCAGCTGATCAATCTCTCTCTCTCTCCCCACCTCCCCCTCACCCCTACCCCTTTTCCTCTCTCTCTAAAAGCAATGAAAAAATGTCTTTGGGTGAGGGTTGAAAAAATACTTACATGGTTCCAAAGTCAAGTCTACAAAACAGTTTGCAAAGTGTAGCTTCTATGCCTATCCTTCTACCCTGTTCTTTCCATGCCCTTGTAGGTAACCAACTTTTTAATGTTTGTCTGTTTTTAAAGATATAAGCAAATACATGTATGTGCACATGTATGTATATATGTATACATGTATGTGTGTTCTTAACTCCATCTTTTGTTAGATAACTGATAGCAAACTATATTTTTTCCACCTTGCTTTTTTTTTTTTTTTACTTTAACAGTATGCTCTGGTGATTGCAGCATAGTTGCATGTTCAGATATTTCCCATTCCCTTTTACAGCGGTGTACTACTAAATTGTGTGTGCAATCATTCATTCAGCCTGTCTCCTGTTAGGGTTACTCCTAGTCTTCTGCTGCTACAAATATTTCTGTTGTGAATAGCCTTTATCATATCTTTTTATATTTTTTGTCAGTGTATGTTTGGGTTATGTGATTTTCTAGATATTGCACAACACCCCTTCATTGGCATTCTACCATTTTGTCATCCCAGCAGCATCGTATGGGATGCCTATTTCCCACAGTCTTATTATCAGAACATGTTAACTTTTGTATTTTCCCCCCGTCTGATAGGCAAGAAATTGTATCTTTGTGTGGTTTTAACATACAGATCTCTTATAAACATGGTTGAATCTTTTTAAACATAATTGAGTCAGTTACATCTAATTCTCTGAATTCTCCTAGCTCTACCCATTTTTATATTGGGTTACTTGTCTTTATTTTGTAAAGATATCTATTCGGCGTGCTAACATTATATCCCTGATATATCAATGCTATGTGTAACTGTAGTTCACTGGGCTGAGAGACTTCTTGTAATAACAAGTCTGAATCCATGTTTTATTGTTTGCTGAGAGCTTTTAAGCCTCCCTTTTCCCTTGTACACTCCTCATGTGGCTCCCCAGCAAGGTATGAAAATGGCTGGAGAGAACAAGGAAAGGAGGCTGGCTTGGGATTCCTACAGTGGTTGGGGGTGGAGCTGCAGTGAGGGTTTCAGCTTATGGTTTGAACTTTCATCAGCACCAAAGGACGGAGCACTGAAGCTTTTTCATTAGCTTTCCCTTTGGCAGGGGGTAACCAGGGCACAGCTGAACTTGTTAACATTCAGCTTCTCTATGGGCTACACCTAACCCTCTGGGACAGCAGGGTACAACAATCTCTACTGTATGAAGACTAGGCCAGGTCTTTAGCTGTGGGTTTGGGCATAGTGTGAATTGAAGAAAGGATATCACAGGGTGGGGGAAGAATGATATGAGGGGACGTTGTATAGCTGGTAGATGGGCTTTCAAGACATTCCTGGCAAATATTTGACAATGTAGTTGCATTGATGGCCAACAGTCATATGTTATCATTATTTCCAGGATGCTTTTGGGGAGAAGGCTATTGGTTTATAGGACCCTTTGCCTTTGATCCTTAATAATCTATCTGAGGAAAGTAAGTCTGCTTTAGGGTCCATTATAATTCATTGTTTTGAGACCAACGAGAAGACTTGTAATTGCCATGCAATGACTTTTGACTTAATCAGCTTAAAATAGAGCTTGGGGATTTGATTCAACTATTCTTTGTGTTACAATTGAGGCTTTTGAATTGTGAAACTGTTCTGAGAGCTGAAAACCTAAAAATTTCAATCTCAATAATGGTTCCGTCCAACATTTTAAATGTAGTTAGGACTTAAATGCAGCTCTGTAATGTGAACAGTGGAATGAGTACCTGATATAAATTGATACTGATAAATTTACAATGAATAAAGAAAGTAGCAAGAGGTTCCTGTATAAGTTTCTCAAAGAGCCATCAAAGAACTTTAATCGCATTGAAACTCTTTCCCAAGAGGCCTGTCTTATGCCTGTGTGATGAGATTAATGGTGTTAATTTTCTTCTTTTTGCTATTTTCTACCATGGTTGTGTATAACTTTTTCATTAAAAGTACTCGACAGATTTTTACTTTAATAATTTTGAAATTTGTCTTTTGAACTTTTAGTAAAACTTTGCACATTTTCAGTAAAAATGGAGCAAGAATTAATATAATTTGCATGTCATAATAAGTATTACATCATTGCTTCTTTTGTCCTATTCTAATTTACATATTCTTTTAAAAGCTGTTCACACTTTGTTTTTTAGCCACATGATTTGCAGTTGCTTTAATGTTGCGTTTATGGTTACATGGTAGGGATTGTTGAAAGAAAAAAACGGTGATTCATTGACATTAAATATAAAAGCTGCTGTAGGTATAAATTAATGATTTATTTAAACAATGGCTGTTGACAGGTTCAGTGGCCAAGAACTTCTTCACCAAATCAAAGCTTTCCATTCCAGAACTCTCCTATATCTGGTAAGTACAATTAATGCCATGTGGTATGGTACAGTCATCCATATTCATTCTTTAGTTCCTACTGTTGCGTTTCTAAAGCTTTTATTTTTTGAATGATTTTTTTGAAGAGATTTTATTTATTTTTAGAGAGAGGGGAAGGGAGGGAGAAACAAGAGGGAGAGAAACATCAAATGTGCGAGAGAAACAGCAATCAAATGCCTCTTGCATACCCCCAACTGGGGACCGTAACCCAGACATGTGACCTGACTGGGAATCAAACTGTTGACCTTTAGGTTAGAAGGCCTGCGCTCAATTCACTGAGCCACACCAGCCAGGGAAAAAAAAATTTTTTTAACAGAGTAAGAGTAAATAGAATTTAGATTTTTGTTGCTGTGAAAATTAAGTTATTATGTGAAAAGCCCAACGAACCGTGTCTAGCCCCTACTGCACACTGTATGTATTAGCATTTATCTATTTACTTATTAATTTATTTGTTTATTTATAGAGGGTGGGAAGGGATGGAGAGAGAGGGAGAAAAACATCAATTGGATCTGGCCCACAACCCAGGCATGTGCCCTGACTGGGACTTCAACCTGTCACCTTTGGTTCGCAGGCCAGCTCTCAATCCACTGAGCCACACCAGCCAGGGCCGTATTAACTATTATTTTAAAAGTCATCTCCTAGTTAGTTTCCTCATCAAGATCCCTTTTCAGTCTGAGCAATTTGTGTGTGGGCATATGAGAATTTCCATCTTGTGTATTTTATTTTCAGATTTTTCTATTTGGTGTGATGCAAGTAACCAGAGGACTCTGAAAAGCTATTCTTTATAATATTTAAATATGAGGACAGGTGAACAGGAGGTCCACAAATGTTTTGGAATTCAGTTAAATTAGACTATTCTAGCTGCATGCGAGATTCCTAAATTTGGCTGGTGTTCATCAGCTGGGCCGTAGTTTAGATGCACAGCTGCGGCATGAGCTGCATCTCGCTGCCGAGCTGGCCACAGCCCTGCCTTCAAAAGGGCTGCATCGAGAAGGTCCAGATGGCTCCATTTGCATTTATGAAAATGCTTGGTGCCTCCGTAAACCCCCGGCTGCATGTGGGCTGTTCTTCCTCACAACTGGGCGAGAAACTGCGCAGCTGTAAAAATATAATTAAAATATTAGAATATTTATGTAAACTTTTTTCATGAGGATTTACAAAAATTATGATAGCATTTAAAATTGCTTGTCATGTTTTCTGCATTTTAGTGGAAAACTATTGCAGTAATCCTTGTGCATGCCAATGTACCTGGAATCCTGAGCTAGATTTATTCATTAGCAATATACTCTGCCACAATTTTTACAAGAAGCCATATATTAGATTTTAAAGTGAGGGGATAAAAGAAGTTATCATTTTCAGAAGAATACAATCTGTTTAGGCAGAATTCCCAGTCTTACCATAATGGCATAATACTTCCTATCTTTTTGTGGAGGCATATACATGAAGGCGGAATGGTATTCTCTCCATCCAGCGTGGGCAGCCGTCCCTGGAATCCTCAGCCTGGGGAGCTGCTATTTCAGGGCTGGTGCATTTTAAATATTCGAGGGGAAGGAGGATGGGAATGGAGCTTACCTTCGATATTCTTTCTTTCAAATAGGAACACCTTTCTAGTACATTTTTGTATGTCTTATCTCTCTACTTGTCCTAATACAAGTATACTTGTCTCTCTACACCTTAGAGACTGGTTGAGTTTAGAAGGTCTTAGTTACTTTGGAAAATAGGTTTCTTTTGTGCTGAGTAAATAGGTCTGTGCTTTCAGTGGAAAACAAGGACTGAAGTGAAGATAAGCCTTTTCAAGTCTATCCCTTTCTTCCTTTCCGTCTTATCTGGTTCCAGCCTCCCTTAGTTGCTAGTTTTATCTGAAAACACAATTCAGCCAGTATTTGTTGAGCTTACTTATATTTTCCCAGGAGGGGATTCTCAAGCAAATTTTTGATACAACATTTTTGTGACTTGAAAAGTTCAAGGTTTTTCCTCAAGGCTTAAAAATGAAGTGGCTCATTTCTGAGCTCCAGTAACTGTGTAACGGCTGGGACAACTCTAAAAGGGCAGGAGCCAGCCAGCCCTCTGACTGTTTTGAGCACCAGGTCAGGAGCTCTTCATAGCACACACTTACTGAAAGGCTGTCAACTGTGGAATTCTGGGCATCATTTTACTTTTTGTGTTCTAGTTGCTTGTCTTGTGTACTCAGAGTTGTAAAACAGACTTACTTAACAGAGAACTTGAAGAATTTAAATTTTCATAAAGTGCCACTCATACCAGTGCTGTCAGTCATCCTAGTTCTTCCTCCAAGTGGTCCCTTGAGATTTCATGTGGGTTTGGGGACTCGGCAAACTTACTTCCAGAGAGCCTGGGAATTGTGTTTGCATGTTTGAAGCTGAGTAAATTTTCCTGTAAGCCTGGTGTTTGGTACTCATGCCATCTGTTATATATTTAGGGAACTTAGTGATGCTGACTGCGACGGAGCCCTGACCCTGCCTGAGTTCTGTGCTGCATTTCATCTTATTGTGGCCCGGAAGAACGGCTATCCCCTGCCCGAGACCCTCCCTCCAACTCTGCAGCCAGAGTACCTGCAAGCAGGTAAGGCCTCATCAGAAATCCTAACCCTCAGACATTTTCCATCCAGGCCTTACAAGAAATTTGTGTTTCTAAAATGGCGTCCAGACACTTTAGGGCAGTGGTCCCCAACCTTTTTGGCACCATGGACTGATTTCATGGAAGTGGGGATGAGGGATGACTACATAGAGCTCAGGTGAGCTTTGCTCGCCCCACTATGGAATGGGGAGGGCCAAGGTGGAGCTCAGGTGAGCTTCACTCCCCTGCTGTGGATGGGAGCAGGGACAGGAGGTTGAGCTTGGGTGAGCTTTGCATACAGTGTGAAGGTTGAAGACCTCTGCTTCAGGGAGTTCTTCGTATCTACAGTTATTGTCCTTTAACCGATTTATGTTTTCGTATCTCACAGTATTGAGTAGTAGGGATGACCTGGCTGTGAGTCATCTGTTATTTTCGTTCTAGTGCTCTCTGGATGGATTTGAACCAAAGTCACTTACCCTTTCATGAAAATTGTGGTATAGACAACTACTAAGTCTTCAGCTGATATAGAATAAAGAGGAAGATCTTCCTGTACAGCCAAGTGCTGATTTGGCATCTTTAGGCACGTCCCAGTGTCCCCAAGTGGCCTTGGACAATGAAATGAAATAGAACTGTTATACATAATAAAAATTTAAAAAACTACATGCAGAAAATCTGCAAAGAGCTGTAATCTTAAATATACACTTGATGAAAATTTTTACATGTGTGTACCCATATAACTGCAATCAGATAAAGGTACAGAACATTCCAGCACACCAGAAGATTGGAATAGAAGTCAGCTCTCTTCATCTTTCTTATTAATAAAAGTTACCCCACAAACCCTTTGGATAGGAAAGAGTCATGGTGTGTCCGACAATTATATCAGTTCCTTTGGAAGACTGGACAAACTGACAGTTTCTTTTGCCCTTTTCAGAGGCAGTGGGCAGTGATCTGATTTCTATTACTCAGAGAAGTATAACTTCCTTGAAAGGGTCCAGAAACATCTGGTGCTTTCAACAACCTTTCTCACAAGAGGCAGGCAAGGTCTCTTAAAAACATGAGAGCTTAGTCATAGATGATTATCAGCCGGAGGGAGCAGTGTCAAAAGTAAATGTGATTAGTCATTAATAGAGTATAAGTTTTGTGGTAACATGTGGAAAGGCCTTAGATTTTCTTACCTTGTCCTTTCCTCATAACTGTGCCAGATGCAAAGAAGCCAGTGACTCATCTAAGGCTGCATTAAAGGGTTCATGACCTTAGGGAAGAGTTCCTTAAGTGTTTGGGCAGAGACTGGAAGGATGAGCTGAGGGCTGTGTAGGTGAAGGAGGAGAAGAGTGGACTCTGGCAGAGGGGACAGCAGGTATGTTGCAGAAGCCCTCAGAGGGGGCTTGGAGCGTGGGAGGTATGTCAAGTTCAGGCCATAGTGGCTGGAGCACAAAGAGCCAGGGCTGGAGAGGATGGGGATGAGGCTAAAGGAGAAGGTGGGGAATAAATCCTGGGCAATGACGTTGATATGTTTCAAGCAGGAACTTACACAATCAGATTTGTTGTTTGAAAGGATCCTGCTGGTTGCTGACCACAGAGCAGTTTTTGAGGAGCAAGAGTGGAATCCAGAAGAACAGGTTATGGCAGTAGTCCAGTCAGGAGTTGTGGGGAGGCTGGCACTGGGGAGGTGTCAGTGGAGATGCAGAGATGAGGACATGCTGGAGGGAGATTTAGCAGTTAATTATAGCATTGGTAGGTTTTTGAAAGTGTTACCTTTTTACCCAGCAAGACCCCCTCATGATGGGGTATTAGTCATGCAGTTCTAGTGAGATCACTGAGAAACTAGAAAGAGAAATCTTATCTCAGTTAAAACTGCTGTTGGGGTTGGATTGAGGAATAGTACTTGGAAAAATGTTCTGATGTTTTTACCAAGAAAAGAGCGAGACCACATGCTATAGTTGGAAAAATCACCAGGGCCCGATGTTGCCTGACTCGATACCAGTGACGTTCAGACCAGAGTATGCAAATGAGCAATTTAAACTACTTGTACTCTACTGTCTGTGGTAGCTGTTGCTCACTGGCCAGTACTTTACTGTGGAGGAAAGTTGGTATTTCAAACCCTGGTGAGGATGGAAGGGTGAGAAAAGATTAATATGAATGCCAACTCATTTTAAACACTTGATTCAAAAAAAATTTTTTTAAACATGGCAAGAAGATTACCTGGACCCAATTCCAGTGCGTATGTGTGGAGGCTCCCGCACACCAACAAGCAATTCTCATGCCCGAGAACTCTACTTAACTTTGAAACTATCTACCTGGAGATAGAATCAGGTTCCACAGGTAAAGGGCTCTGCCCCACAAGAACGGCCTTCACATGAGATGCCAGTCGTGAGTCCAGGCTGTTACCTGTGCTTCTGATGGACTGGCTATAAATCAGAGGCTTCCCAACCTGGCCAACACCCTTTGGTGGGTTTCAAAAGTCACCTCATTAACATAACAAGAAGCACCATTGCTGCTCTCATTACTTTGGAAATTCCTAGTAGTGTGGGAGCTCTGTGCCAGAAATGGGAATGAAGACCAAATACGTATTTCTTTTATAAATCATCATATCAACATGGCATTAAAATTTTGATTTAATAGCCGGTCTTGACAAATTTGATTTGTAACTTCTATTTATTGTTTACCCCAATCTGCTTTTCCTCTTTGGAATATTGACAAATTTTCTAGTTGTTAAGACATTTCTTTCGTAATTACTTTGTGACAAAGTGGTGAAACAATCCACTTCTAAGAAATAGCACGAGTGTTAATTATTAGCGTACTTAGTAGCATGATTTTTCCTCATGCTGATCTGATCTCCCAACTGACAGCCCCTTTCACTGTTCTGTGTTAGAAATTCATAATGTGATTCTTACTTCCTCTCTTGTAAATCAGCAAGAACCTGTGCTCTAACTTTTGTTATTCCTTCTAACCGAAAGAAGGGAGTATTTCCTAGTTTTCTCGGGCACATATCATCATAAGGATCTCATCTATTACCAGCAAAAATAGCTGAAATGTAGTATTTCCTTAGTTAATGTTTCTAGTACTACTAGAAAATTATGCTAGTAGCATGCTTAAAACTTAAGTATAGTGATGGCGATGATTAATGTGGAAAACGACTGTTACAACACAAAATGCCAAAAACATGGACTTCCTAGCAGGACTGCTGGCAATTCAAGTTCCTGCCCAACCATTTATGAATTATGTGACCTTGAGTAAGTTGCTTAACTTCCTGGTTTCTCCGTTTCTTCATGTTTAAATGGGGATGATAGAAGTTCCTGGTTGTCTATATAGAGAACTTAAAATACTATATCAGCGTCATGAGTGCCATAACCAGTATATTGGAGCTAGCTGGTTTTGTTAAATAGGAAACATTGCCTGCTATGACTATATGTATTCTTTTGGTTTCTTCTTAGCCTTTCCTAAGACCAAGTGGGAGTGTGTGTTATTTGATTCTTATTCTGACTCCATGCCAGCAAACCAACAATCCCGTGACTTGAACCGGATGGAGGTAAAAGATCTTCATATGTTAATGACTTAAGGATGTGTTAGAATTAAACCCATTATCCTATGTGTTTTTACAAACTCTAGAAAATCTACTTTTATAACATTTCTCTTCATAGTGCTTACTTTGGGGGTCATCCTTTAAAATCTAGACACCACATATATCTATAATTATGTTTTTTTCTTTTCTCCCTAAAACTAGATTTGGTGAAATAAGCAAAATAGTCTCTTGACTTTCTAGAAGTGAAATTGAGGCGCAGCCAAAGTAGGCCAGAAAAATGCTAGCCAAGTTATTTAATTTAACCAAGCTTTAATTCCGAAGTAAACATTGTAAAGTTGTATTTTTAGTAGCTGAGTATTGACAAAATATAATGAACCAGAACAATTTTGAGAGAAGGTTTGAGAACTAAATATGAGGTCCCCAAACCACATTTAAAGCTGCCTTATCCCTAAGGGTTTTTAGCTTTTGGACCAGATGAAGACTTATTTGGATGATCCTCAAGAGAAACCCAGAGACTTTCCACCATGGTGGGTCATTGATGTAGGGGCTTAGCCACATGTTTAGTGGCCCTTCAGTGTGCATTGATAAATAGGAGTTGGTATGGTTACTGTTAATTTCAGGACTATCATCAGTCATCATGGTTGCAGTGATGTCAGCTTATGATATCTGCTGTTCTTGTCCTAAAAAAATCTGGAAATGTTTAATAAATAGAGGTTTATTCACAGGCTCCTATTATAGTTCTCTGACTGTAGTTAAAAGCATTGCAAGATCACAGAACTCAAAGGCAGCATATAGGGCCATGCCTTTAATTTCTCGTCACTGTGTGTGATTATTCTTTCCAGTGGAGCTCCCACGGCTGTAGTCTGTGTTTTAGATGACACCCTCAGCTCCTCTATGAGCAAACCAAGCCTGCTTCTACAGTGCTCTCTCTGTTAACAGCTTTCTTGGCCTCTCTGCTTCTCTTTCATTGAGTTGTAGCCTCTATGATATTTTTCTCAACAGATTTCTACTCATGGGAAAAAGATGTAATAAAAAGTAATTTCAGGAGGAGTGATAGATGTGCTTTGGAAGAGTTTTGGCCTTTTAAATTTCTTTTTCTGTGTATTACATATGATGGAGAGACATATAACAAAAATTAGCCACTTTTGATGGCCTTCAGTCTATTTTGGGGCTGCTAACAGTGTCTGGAGAGGTTTGTCTGTCAGGTCAGGACACACAACCTCTGTATCTCTCTGATGCAATTGCCCTGATTTTTGTTTGTTTGTTTTTGCTGAGTCCCCTGCTTGTATAAAATTATGAAGGTTGGGTGACTTATTGAAAGTGTCATAAATTTTTATTCTTTCTGGATAAATGTTTTGTTCCAGCTTGCCATGGTATCAGATGGTCTTTACCCTTCCAACAGAGACATATAATGCTATTTTTTGGAGAAATTAATTACTGACACTCAGATGGATGTTATGTGCAGCTGAGTTTTATATACTTTCATATCTTTTAACTGGCTCCTTTGAGGGGGGCAGGTTAAAAGCTACCTAGTCAGGATCCTCACAGAAACAATATCAAAGGAATGGTAGAATGGGTTACAGTTTCCCACCATTAACGATTTTCCACTGTTACACAAACAAGAAAGCAAAAGAAGAACAAAAATACTTCTACAAGACTGTTATTTTCAGGGTGGGGTGATTTTAGATAATGATGTAATAAATAAAATTCAGGGATAAACTAATAAGGTTTATTGATGGTTTGGTCCTTTCAGTAGTATAGGTCAGATTTTAATATCTATGATTAAATATTTCATGTTTCTCTAAACTAATTCATTATTCTTTCTACAGCCTTTTAATCTTTCATGAAAGCATGCGTGGAGTTTAAACAGGTCTTGGTGCCAGCCCTGTGAGGGATGACTCCATATAGGTATTTGTGTAATGAGTGAAGCTGTAGCTGATTCAGGTCATGAGAAGTTTGCTCAGAAGTACAGCTTTTTCTAAAGACAGCAGAGCTGTAACCATGTGCTCTCAAGAATTAAAGATTAGAATTTCAGGAGTACTCCTCTTAAGCAGGGTTTCTTAGATTACTGGATTTCTTTCTTTTGTGAACAGCTTTACTGAGATATGATTCACATACCATACTGATTTAAACTATATAATTTAGTGGTTTTTAGTATAATAAGAGCTGTGCAACCATCACTGTAGTCTAATTTTAGAGCATTTTCATCGTAGCATTTTCATAAAGCCTGTGGTCATTAACAGTCATTAACACTATCCTCTGGTAATTACTAATCTTTTTTCTGTCTCAGAATTTGCCTATTCTGGACATTTCATATAAATAGAATCATGTAATATGTGGTCATTTGTGACTGGCTTCTTTCACTTAGTATAATGTATTTAAAGTTCATTCATGTTGTGTCAGTGCCTTATTCCTTTTTATTGCTGAATAGTATTCCATTGTGTGAATAAGTCAAACTTTGTCTCTCCATTCTTCAGATGATGGACATTTGAGTTGTTTCCACTTTCAGGTTGTTAGGAAAGAAAAATGCTGCTATGAACATTCATGTACAAGTTTTTGAGTGAGCATCTCTTCAATTCTCTTGGGTACATACCTAGTTGTGGAATTGTTGGATCATATTATAACTTGTGTTTAACTTTTTGAGGAACTAACAAACTGCTTTGCAAAGCACCTGCACTATTTTATATTCCTCCACCAGCAATGTATGAATGTCCCAATTACCCCACATCCTTGGCAACACTTGTTACTGTCTTTTTCGTTTTAGCCATCCTAGTGGGAGTGAAGTGGTATTTCATGATTTTGGTTTTAATTTTCTAATGACTAATGATGTTGAGCATCTTTTTGTATACTTAACCATACTTTGCTATGTATAATGCACACCCACATTGTTGGCCCAAGCTTTCAGGAAAAAGTCTTTTGATTTTTTAATTCAATTTTATTTATATTTAGATACTTATTTTTTGTATTATAAAGGGATTTTAGCATTTATTTTTGGATATATTATGGTACATGTGTACCAGTGTCAAAAAGGGTATTATTTTGCATATGAATATCATTATTGCTTTCTAGAGTTACACTTTAAATGCATAAACATAAATAAAACAATTAAAAACATTTATATAGATATGGAATTAGTACTACCCATGTATAATGTGCATCCTTATTTTTCTCTCAAAAGCTTGGGCAAGAAAGTATGCATTATACATGGCAGAATACGGTATTAGCCGTTTGTATACCTTTTTTGGTGAAATGTCTGTTCAAATCCTTTGTTTATGAATTGGGTTATTTGTTATTGAGTCATAAGTTTTCTTTATATATTCTAGATATAAGTTCCTTACTAGGTATATAATTTGCAAGTAGTTGCTCTTTCTTTGGTTTTTCTTTTTCCTTTCTTGATAGCATCCTTTGCAACACAAATGTTTATTTTCATGAAATTCAGTTTATGTTCTTCTTTTTTTGTTTTTTGTGCTTTTGGTGTCATATCTAAGAAACCATTGTCTAATATAAGATCATGAAGATTTAATCCTTTGTTTTCTTTTAGGAGTTTTACAGTTTTACGTCTTACATTTAGGTCTATGATCCATTTTTAATTAATTTTTGTGTATGCTCTGAGGAAGAGGTCTAAATTCATTCTTTCGTGTATGGATATTTAGTTATTTCAGTATTATTTATTGAAAAAACAATTTTCCCCCATTAAATTGTTTTGTACCTTTGTTGAAGATCCCTTGACCATAAATGTAAGTGTTTATTTATGGATTCTCAATTCTATCCCATTATGCTAGTCACACAGTCTTGATTACTGTAACTTTGTTGTAAGTTTTGAAACTGGGAAGTTGAGTCCTTCAACTTTGTTCTTCTTTTTCAAGAATATTTTCACTATTCTTGATTTCTTGTATTTCCATATGAAATTTGAGACCATGTGGCCAAATTCTGCAGAAAAACGAGGAGGATTGCATTCAATCTGTGGATGAATTTGGGGAGTATTGCTGTCTTAACAATATTAAGTCTTCTGACCCATGCGCATGGGATATCTTTCTGTTTACATAGATTTAAAAAAATTTTCAACTCTTTTTTTGGGTTTCTTTTTAATCTGCATTTTCTACTCCTAAGTCATTTTCTTCTACTAAGGATCTGGTTTATAATCTAGATGCAAGAAGAAAAGGAAAGAAAGGGACTATTAAGATATATTCTTTGTTCCATTGGAGATAGTAGCCTTTGAATAGGAAATTACATTTGGGTGCTTCATCATAATAGCCAAGAATGACCTGCCTGAGGATTCAATCCTAGATCAGATTACCACCAAGCACTACTATTATTGTTTAATATATCAGAAGTCTTAGAGTGCATGTAATTGAGACTTTATAAGAAATAAATGTATAGCCCTGGCTGGTGTAGCTCAGTGAATTGAGTGCTGGCCTGCGAGCCAAAGGGTTGCTGGTTCAATTCCCAGTCAGGGCACATGCCTGGGATGTGGGCCAGGTCCCCAGAAGGGGGCACACGAGAAGCAACCACACATGGATGTTTCTCTCCCTCTCTTTCTCCCTCTCTTCCTCTCTGCCTAAAAATAAATAAATAAATAAAATCTTTAGAAAAAATCCACAATCTTCTTAAAAAAGGAAATAAATTTAATAGGTTTTACACAGAATCTTATACTAATCAATACTTGATTAATTTGGGTATTCATCTTATTAGTATGAGTGAAGACTTTTCCCATAAGTGAGTTAGGAGGGAATTTTGTTCTGCTCATCAGTGTAATTACCTTATTCCAGGATAAGGAGGCTATTTGAATCAAGGTAGAGCACCTTCTGGTTAACAGATCCTGGCAAATACCCACCTTATTGGGCCACTTGTCAGAACCTCTCTCTGCTTGTAAAAGAGTACATAGAATACAGGTTTGTTCTTGACTAAATGGGCAAATGCTACAAGGTGGGATTCTCTGGCTGAATCCCATACTGGATTCAGATTTAATATGTGGTCTATACATATGCCTGCCTTAATCTGAATTGTTATTTTTTTGCTCTATGCATATAAATCTTTCAATAAAAATTAACGTATCTCTCACTAGGAACCTAAAATAAAATAATATTAAATGTCAAGGCTTATTGAAGACAGAAATATTGGCAAGATATGAAACTTATAAAACATTTTCATCATATGTGCACGTAACTTAATTTCTATTCAATCTGTATAATTAATTTTCTTTCCTTTTTCAAGAAGTTATCTATTAAAGATTTGACTGACTTTCCTGTTCCTACCCAAGATATGACTGGTGATGACAAACAAGGTATGAAAAGAATGAGTTTTCTTCCTTTAGAGATATTCTGCCTATTTTTTTTAATGCACTTCTCTTGGAATGATTGGCTACTAGAGCATATGAGGACAGTTATCAGTATATGAACACATTTGGATGGATTATGTAGTTCAAATTATTATCCCAAAACTATAGTTCATAAAGTCGTAACAAGAGCTTGAGTGAAAAATAAAGCCCATCTCCCCCTAGCTCATTGGCCCCTTACTTACTGCTGACCCTCAGGTTTAGCATCTTATTTTGGCATATTTGATTCCAGAGCATCAGTGTAAATACACATTTGTACACAGGTTTTGTCCATAAGGAAATTATCTTCTGGAGAGAGTTTTTGTTCCTGGGCTTTATTCTCTGTAAGGGTGTAGGGCTGTGATGTAGAGCCCAGCAACAATTTGCCTATCTACTGCGCAGGTGAGAAGCAGTGCCGCACTGTGTTCCATGTGACAGCTATCAGCAAGCACAGAGATGAGTTGGCCTGGGAATATCTAGAAGAGCAGGAGGAACCCACCCTTCCCCAACTCCATACTTCTGTACAATGTCCTTCCTCATACACTATCTTATCCAGTCCTCACAAAAGTGAATGGAGGCTGGCATGTTCATCCCCTACAATTTAGAGATGAGTAAACTGAAGTTCAGGCAGTATGAATCACTTGCTTAATAAGAAAAAGAGAGGGGATAAGAACCAAGATTTTCTAAATCTCAAGTCATTTTCCTTCTATTATCTGATACTGATTTACTGCCCATGCATGAGAGGCTTATCTGAAGAGACTAAAAATCAGTGAAACAATTTCAGGTTTTATTGTAGAGACCTGCCGTTGATGTAGCTTTGTATGTAAGTATTTTACATACAAACTTAAATAAGGGAAAAAATAAGTTTTCCCTTAGGAAACAATAGTTGCATGCTATCTATTTAAATATTTGCTTAGGAGAGGTAGAACTGGACATTGTCTACAGCAACATGTACTCTGATCACTCTTTATTAATTAGTGGGTCTTAGCCTTGGCTGCACATTGGAATAACCAAGTGAGCTCTAAAAATACTGAAGCCTGGGTTTCACGGCGGGAGAGATTTTGAGGTCATTGGTCCGGATGTCAGGAATGAAAGGGGGAAATTCCTGATACTTTCTGATAATACTCCTCCTAGCCACTAAAGGCTCTGTGTCTGGAAAGTTGAAAATACTCCTTTGATCTCTTGGGAGAACCCATTTCCATACTTTAAGAGTTCTTTATTGTTTTGGTAAGTTGTACAGCAATTATAGAAGTTTGTAACGCTATTTTAATAAGTGATTACTACAGATTCTTTGTTTTAATATAATGTGCCAGAGAAATAAAATGTTATAGTTTTTTTTCTTTTCTCCTCCTTTCTTTCTCTGTTTTTAAAACAAAATGTCACTAGCTTTGAAAAGTACTACGGATGAAGCCTTACCAAAGGACGTGTCTGAGAATCCAGGTAGGAGAAAACCATTTTAACATATTTATGTAATTATTTCTAATAAAAAACCCCAGTAGTTTCAGTGAGTAGAAGATTGGTATATTTGTGATAGTATTTATGTTTCTCTTGAAATACTTGTGTTTTATTACAGGGAAATCTTTTTGCTTTTTTTTTTTTAACCCCTTCTTTTCAGGTATGAGAAGATGGTGATTTCTTAAGTTCGGAATTTAGGTTTCATTGAAAGGATCACTGTTTAAATTTAGTCTCATTGTTACTAAGTGTAAAACTGAGAAGACTTGGAGTTGGTTGAGAGGATTTCAACAAGCCATTGTAATTTCTTTGTAGAAGGATGTGATAGGGTAGATCAGTTGGAGGCCCACAGTTGAAATCTTTCCATTTCCAAAACGAAAATCTCAAATACTGTCATTATACTTCACCACCAGGAAGGCAAGTCAATGTTCTTATACATGGAACAGATTCCAAGGAGAAAAATAAAAATAGCGTTTGCCCTGTTCTTGTAGAGTTGGAACTGTGTCTGTGAACCACAGAGGTGGCTGGGCCTGTGTCCTCAGTTCTCTCAATGGACCCATCATTGAACCAAGATGAACTTAGCTAAAAACAAACTGGATAAGGAAGGTTTTACTGTTTGGAGCTCTGATTATGAGGACATGAAAGAAATTGGTGCTTTCTTTTTTATCTCTCAATATTTAATAAGTAAATCATGTTTGTTTTGGTTAGCTATCATCCCAGGCTTATTTGTTTAAAGTTAGAACAAAGGGGTCAATATAACGTTGAAGCTTATGTAATAATACAGTATTTCCCAAACACCAAGTTCATTCAAGGTTTAAAAGAGAGGAATAAAGAGAGAAGGAAAAGAGTGGGGGATGGGGGGAGAGAGCACGAAAGAGCATATGAATGGGAATCTATGATGGATTTCAGATATGAGGTCTAAGAATCTGTATTTTTAAGGAGCCCCCAGGTGATTGTGATATTTAGCCTGTTTTGGTAACAGCTACCTTTAGAAGGCCATGTTAAGATAATAGAAAATTAATATCAAACATGATTCCAAAAGTAGTAGGAATTTTCAAACCTATTTTGGCTTTGGCACTGATTGGGATTCCTTCATTAGTGGGGAAATGCTCTGTTTGTGTAGGAGAAATTCCTGAGGTAGGTTTTTTGTAACCTTATGATATTAGCAAAAGCTGTTTAAATGTAGCGAGTTAAATTGCTGCTTCTCCAGCAGCCTCTGAGGCTAATAATTCTTCCTGTTTTTTTCCATGAGCATCACGTGTTCTCTGGGGCCAGCTTCAGATGTTGTTAACATTCCTTCATTGAATAGGATGTGGTGTCACCAGATAAGACCTCTCAGGGTGTGCCACAGTGTGTGAAGTACATCTGAATTTGTTTCACATTCTGCCTGGGAGTCCACTGCTGCCCCATTCGGGAAGGGCTATGAGGGACTTGGATTCCCAGCAGGAGCCACTGGAGTTTCAAGGTGGTGATTTCTAATTCTGAATGGCTGCCCATGCCACGTGGAGTGTTTACCTCAATTGAGATGCTACTTTTTGGAGAATTAAACTTCAGGCTTGCCTTCTTATTATCTCATTTCTGGTTCCTGGAAAGATGACGTGCCTGGAGTATACTAGGAAGTTCGCATTCTTCTTCCCTTTCCAACCTAAATGAGAAGCTATGATCTGCCCGTTGGTGTCTGCCTGGATTTCAACACAACGTGCCCTCACCATTTTTGCAGATATTCACATTCTCCAAATGCTGAGCCTGACTTTCAGGGGCTCAGAGGCTGGTGGAAGACTTAACTAGAATAATGAGTTCCAGCTTTTTCTGATCAGAAACCTGTGGAGACTTACCAAGACCTGCCTGGGTTATGTTTTTGCAGGTGGAAGGAGAAGCATCTCCCTGTTCTGTTCTTCCCCAGTGGGTGGTAATAGTAATGGTGCTGAAGATCACGATGTGGCGAGTTAGAGATGGAGTGGGACTTTATTACCAGGGAACGAGAGTATCCCTTTTACATATTTTAATGCCCTTACCCTTTTAATTGCTGAAAGTATATATATTAGTGGAGTCTGATAGATTTCTTAGCTGATGTTACATTCCATCTAATTCAACAGAACACACTGCACAATGGTGATCTTTTTCTTGATGTCTTAGTCATGCTTAGTAAATTAGGCCTTTTCATTCTTATGCTGTAGTCTTGAGATTGCTATTGGTCATTCTAGCAGCTGCCCTAATTGCCAGCTATCGCTCCATGGTTTTATGGGGCAGAGCAGTTCTTTCCTTCCATTACTCTCTCCCACCTGCCTCTCCTTTGCTGTTGTAGAAGGAATTAAATTTAGAAACCAGAATTCTAAGCTTGAAAAGCTAGGAGCACTCTATAGCAGTAATATTTTGCAATTCTCCAATGCACTTAGTTGTTAAAGTACCTTCACTGTATTGTCTCTCCCTGAGGCACAACTGCATTTTTATTTTCCTCATCCTGTAGGTGAGGAAACTGAGGTTCAGAGAGCTAACAGGTAGTGAGTGTAGTGGCCAGGAGCACCTAGGCCTTATCACTCCCGGCCTGGTCTCCACCGCTCATGTGCACCCCTCTCCTCATCTGTCTATCTCTCACCAGCAGAGTTTATCCCTCCTTCTACACCCATTCCTACCTCAGCAAAAACACAAAGATAATGTCAATTGACAAAGGAATTAACAGTCACCACGGTCTGGTTTGTTGAACAGTATGTTAACATGGCTGAGACTTTTACCTACATATTTATGGAAAGCAGTGGGCCCTGAGGGAGAAGAGAGCCACAGAACCAAAGCTGGCTGTGGGCAGCCTGCTCCGAGGGTGACCCTTGAACTCTTTGGTGAGTCTGCTCACACAGTCCACCCACCCCTAAGGCAGCCAGCTTGGCTAGAGGAGAGGCTCTCCTGAGGACACTTTGTTTTGTTGCCTGGGGCTGAGGTGGGTGGGGGGAGTTAGTTTTTGGTAATAATGGGCAAGACAAGGATCAGACTCCCTGGGCTGTACGGGATTTTCAGAGGTTTGAGTTTAAAGATTCCTGTGTTCTTACTACAATAAGCTAAAATGTGTAGATTTGGAGAAATATAACCTCTGCAGCTGACCCGGTGGAAGGGGATGTATGTTGCTTGTTTGCTCTGTGCCTTGTTAGCACTTTAGCGCCCCTTCCCACCCTGCTTATCTAACTCAAGGATTTTAATCGTCCTTGTAAGTTCAGGCTGCCTTGTCCCAAGGAGGGTTTTAACTTTGTAGCAATGTGAAAGAGGAGGGGAAAATGCAGTTGAGACATTTTCTTTCTGGTAGGATTTGTGCAAACAATATATAAACTCTATTCTTTTTCCTAGTTAGTAGCACTTTTTCTATGAATTTTTAATGACATTTTATAATGAAAAATTTGCAGTGTTTGCAAAATGTCAGTGTAACTAGTGGTTTCTAAAGTTGTCTCCCATAGAGGATTGAAAATATCAAAAGAAGATTAATGTTTTTGTAAATGTTTTTAATTACTTCCAAGAAGCTGAGATGGGAAAGTAGGTGTTAGTTTATGATTGAAATTTGATAAAAAGTTGTGTGGTTGATAAAATATTTTAATGATTTCATGCCATAATATTCTCTGTACAATTTGGTCATACAGACATGGACCACAAGAATATTTTCTTTTAGGAAAAGCTGCATAGCTCCTTGCAGCTTAACTTGTGGGAGCTTTGCTTTCTTCTGGTCATGCTGCTCTGGTAGTGTATTTTAAGAAAATCTTAACATACATAGCCCAATAGATTTCTTTCTAGTCTTCAGAGGAGACTTGTTCCGTATCTATTACTAGGCTATTATGATAGACCAACACATTCTGAATTCTAAACCCATCATTATGTAAATAGATAACCCCTTAAGACGGTTGTCTTTTTAGTCTGGAATTTCTTTGTCATTCAACTTTGATTTGAGAATGGCTTCTTAGGTAGTATTCTGATGAAAGGAAAATATGTTGGTTTTTATTTCCTTTTAATTGTGCCTGTAGCTTTAGAAATAAATTTCTGAAATAATGAAACTGGAAGAGGTCATGTTCTCCACATGGACACCTGTACCTCATGTTGACCTGTTGATGTGTTCTGTACTAGCCTAGATACTGTATATAAACCTGTTTAATTGCAAAAATGAAACCCAGGCAAACAACAATTAATCTTCGTTTCAGCCACTCCTAAGGAGTCCAACAGTCTCAAAGCAAGACCAAGATCCAGGTAGTGTTTGTTTAATTTCTGCTTTAATGCCCTTTGTGCCCTGTCCCAGACTAGAAATGAAACCTCCCAACCCAAAGCCCAACTCACAGTCTCCTTTTCCTTTTGATGTGAAGCTTAGAAAGTGGGTGAGTTCACTGTCATGAGGGGCCTGACTGGAGCATGCAGTGCTCTTGGGAGACTCTTGGTTTCTGTGTTTATTAGTGCTAGAAGATGGTGGCTTCTGTTCTCTGGTCACCTGACATGAAGAAGTGGCTTGTGTGATATGCCCATGTTGTTGCAGGATGTTAATAAGTAGGAAGAAGTAGCCTTGCAAATAAGGGAATATGGTTGAAAGGTAACTAACACTGAAATTTACTATTGTGGCAAGGTGAATACCAAAAAAGTAAGAAGTCTTTGGTCAAATATAGAGAAGGGAAAGAAAATGCTTATGGCAATTCCAGTGAGGCAGGAAGTTTTAGGTAAGCAGTACTTATGGTCTGTTTCATCCTATCTTAGAGCTTCTTCTTGGCTTCACCATTTTTCAGTCACTAGAGGATAGAAGAAGAGGGAGAACCAGGGAGGCAGAGCTGTGGCTGACATCAGACAACAGAATGGAGGAGTGAGGACAAATACAGAAACACTAATAGAACCAATAGAACATCAAAAAGGGAAGATGGAATTGGGACCCCTCTTCACCAGTAGACTGCAGTGTAAGATAGGATAGTGCATGTGTCTTTTCCAAGTTTTCCTTTGGCTCTTAGTGACTTTTTTCCTCCTTTGGCTACTAGACACATTCCTGAAGAAGTGAATTTAAATCTCATCATATTTTGAAACACTGATATTTAAGGAAATCTTGTTTCTTGTAAATCAGAGGTACTCCTTAGTGTATCTTTTATGTCTGGATTTTCCAAATTGGGGTTTTGTTTCCTTGTTTATAGAAGGTAAAGCTATCTATATTCATATTTTTGAATACAATAGATAACACTAATTCATTTTGGTAGGAAAAAAAGCATAGTCATTATTTCTCTATATGGTTACCACATATACTCATCCCTTTTTTAAAAAGGATGAATATATATTTTACAAATTAGTCTGTACTGGCTTTAAGATGTAGGAATAGTAATATTTGTCTACTCTCATAGTAGGAAAAAGCTTTGAATTGCAGAAAATTACTTATGTGTTCTCTGTTAACTGTAAATTGAACCTCAGTTTTCACTTCTGCTGACTTCCTCTCTCTTGCAAAGCAAGTGAAATAACCAAATCACATAGTCACATATTCTATTATTAATCTCACTGGCCAAATTTCATATATTATTATTTTAGGAATCGGTCTGCTGGTCTAATTTGGATGTTTTTATTTCACTACTCCCAACTAGGTCTTTACTGAGACTAAAAGAATCAAATCATTATCCTCCTTTTTAGAATAACAAAGCTTTGTAGAAATAAGGGAAAGAGGGAAAAATCAACATTCTAACACTACTACATTCATCATTTTCTTGATTCTCTGCAAATTTTTAAAATATATATATAATTTTTAGACAGGGGAAGGGAGGGAGAAAGAGGGAAAGAAACATCAGTGTGTGGTTGCCTTTCACCTGCCCCTACTGGGGGCCTGGCCTGCAATCCAGGCATGTGCCCTGGCTGGAAATCAAACCAGTGACCCTTGGGTTTGTAGGCTGGTCCTCAATCTACTGAGCCACACCAGCCAGGACCACATTTATATTTTAATTGGTTGCAGCCACAGTTTTTCAGTATCACTTATTTGATATTCAGTTAACTTTCCATAACAAAATATAAATGCACAGGTTATATATGGAAATAAAATGGAATGACTTATGTGGCATAGAAAGTTCTTTTAATTTCTAGCTAAGGTCTCTATTTCCTTTTTAAACCAAGAGTTCCCATTTGAAAGCTTTGTCATCCTTTCAGATCAATTCCCTCTTATTTTGTTTGAAAGTATTAGAATGTTCTTCCTGCTAGTTCCTGCATGCCTTTGCCTTGCCTGTCTTGCCAGTTGTGTTACAGGGACCACCTCAGAGCATGTCACATGCCATTATGGTGACTTTATTAAAGACTGAAACATTGTATGACAAATAGAACACCCCTTGAAACTTTTGAAACCTTGAAGAACTCATTCAGGAAAATTAAAACTTGCTGTGTGAAAACCAGCTTTACCAGGAACTGAAGTTACATAATAGAAATGGATAGATTGTAATTTCATAAGTGCCTCTCTAATTGCTAAATACTAAGAACAGTTTTCTGAAGTTAATTTATCTTTAGGACATATCTCTGATGCAAACGTCATTTTCTTCTTTGACATTAAGTTGGCCAAGATGCTGAATAGAACAGACGTACACATCCAGTTCTTAGAAAAATGACATTGGAAACTCCTCCACAAACCTATTATACCAGGCAATAGAATTATGTACTGAATGGAATTAATTTAGAAAATAAGTAGTCTCTAATAAATAGTCTAGCCGCTACCACCAAAAGTTTTCTACCCTGATTCAGGCAACATGAGAACATTTTAAAAATGGAATTTGGAAATAGACATGGACTAGAGTTTGAATCAAACCCATGCCACTTTCTAGCTGTGCGACCATTGGCAGATTACTTAGTTCACTTTTCTTTAAGTGTCATTATTGGCGTTAACAATCTCAGACGTTGCCAAGGTAGCTACTGCTTTGTCACAGATTGAAGGAGGAAGTTAAGAGGAAGCTTTTGCTTTGAAAGTTTCCCAAAACCCATCTCTCTCATGATAAGACAAACTAGACCCCTCAACCTGATTGATGTGTGCTTTTCTCTTCTGAATTTCATTTGCAGCATATTCCTTTGAATATTTGATTCTTACTCTCAGCTTATCTGTACCAATTCTATATGTGCCTGTCATTGTATTTGCATATAAGCAGGAGAAAAAGTTCTGTAATCAGTTAATATCACAAAGCCCTTCTGATAAAATATGGAAGTACCTAAGTGGAAGGGTTTACGTGCTATTCTTATTAATAATTCAGTAGAAACATTTCAATTTACAAGAAGCTTTCCTTTCCAGTAAATTTAGGTCTCAGGTAGAATAAGAGCAAGGAGGTTAAAAGAGATTCTGACTCACGATTGGGGTTTGGGCATTATGGCAGGTAGGGGCAACCAGGGGATGGTAGGATTCATGGTGGCTTTGGGAGCTTGGCGGTCCTTTGCAGTCACTTTGACTTTTGTGGGTATTTTCCATTTCAACCCAACTTCAGAGAATAAATCTTTGCTGTCTCCTTTCTGACCTTCCCTTATTTCGCTGCAGATCTTACTCTAGCACCTCCATAGAAGAGGCCATGAAAAGGGGCGAGGACCCTCCCACCCCGCCACCGCGGCCACAGAAAACCCATTCCAGAGCCTCCTCCTTGGATCTGAATAAAGTATTCCAGCCCAGTGTGCCAGGTGAAGTGCCCCTTTGTACCCCAGCCCTTCCCTTTCCTGTTGGAGTTAGTGGATGGGCGTGTGCCACAGAGGCCTTTGTGAGCCCAGGGAATGAGCAGACCTGGCTGTTTCCCATCCCAGGAAGGTCTTCACATTGCTATGAGATTCTTGGGAGGGAAAGTAATTCTAGGCAGATAGATATCACATGTGTCTGGAGCCTTGCCCACACTTGCTTGAGATCAAGAATTATGAAATTCTGTACCAAGAAGATAAAAATGCTTCAGTTCCAGACTGCCCACTGAGTGTGTGGCTGGGGTCTTGTTATCTGCATCCTGGTAATTTGTATATAAGGTTGCTATCTGTCATTTCCTCGGAAGCTTATGTGGTTCTGTGAAAGATCTGGGTGAGCAGTGCCTGGCCAGAATTTTTTGCATTTTATCCCTGCGGCGAAGCTCTTGTGTCCTCTTGGGTTTAATGCTAAGGGGACTCTGCTTTCTAAATCTGAGTGATGGCTAGGTGGTTGGTGGTGGGGCCTAGGGCAAGGGCTTGTTCAGGTGCGCTGCTCTGGAACTTCTGGGGCTGGGACTTTCTTGAGCCACTGGCTGTAGAGCTGGGTTTGGAGGGAAGGTGTCAGTGGAGCCTGTCTGCTCCCCCGACTCCCTCTGAAGTGGGAGACTAGGGAACCTATGGAACAGCAGATGAGAACCATGCTTTTGCTTTAGTGAAGGTACTAGGATACAGCACCATCCCAAGTGTTATTTTGGGAGCAGCAAGGGCCTTTTCACTGCCTAATGTAGGCAAGCTATAAATACAATGATTTCCTGGACCCTTTTTATATCTATGTGCATTTCAAATCAAGGGAACCTCAGATGCTAGTGATTTTCAGATTATTATCTTTTCTACTAAAGCAAGAAAAGACTCCTTGGCTCACACATTAGCATGACCTCTGTGTCCCGGCATAGCTCAGCATGTTTTATTTGTTCTAATAAAGTGCTCTCTTCACAGTAAAGTTATAGAATGTTTTTTAATATACTAGAATCTGGAGCTCTCTGTGAAACTTGATTCTATGCCATGAGTTCATCAGATAAAAATTTGCCTTGAATTTTCCCCCATACTTTGATCCAAATTCTGGCATAATTTCATAGTAACTGGTATTTGGGGTGGGAATAGCCATGGGTGATGATGCTATAAAAATTTTACATTGCTGGTGGATTATGACCTAGAAGATTTTTGTATGGATGAAAGAAGATTAAAACAATCTGGGCAGCTGTCTCAATATGTTTTCCTTGCAAGGAGAGAGGCTGGAAACATGCAAGCATCTCTCAGTCTGTGTAACCCCAGGAGTGCCAGCTGTTTGAAGAATGAATGTGCTGTAGCTTTTATAAGGTTGTCCTCTAGAGAGGAAGAGATAAGACTGGATTCAAAGTCTCTCTCAGCTGCTTATTAACTATTTGATTTTCAGCAAGTGGTTTAATCTTTCTGTATCTCAGATTCCTAATCTGTAAAATAGGGCCAATATTCCACAGAATTGGAGGGTTTTAGTGAGATAATAAATATAATCCAGATAGCACCATGGCTGGCCCATAGGCACCCATTCTCACACCTGACTGATGAAGGAAGGGAGTCTGAAGTTAAAGCCCCTTGACTTCTTTGACCCCCCCCACCAGTGGGACACTTGCGTGATTTGTCCCCGACCAACCTTAGAGGACTCATAAAGGCACCGAGCAGACTCATAAAAGCACCGAGCCCCTGTTGACTGCTTAGTACTCCATTCATTAATACACATTTTGGTGGCTTTGTTTCCTCCTGCCCTGTCTCACTTTCCCCACACCCAAGTAAAATACCTGTTCCCAAGTGCCAGTCTTAGGGGCTGCCTTTGGGAGAACCTGAATTGAGACAGCTTCTTTTTACATCTCCAATATTGACATGACTTCAATAGGAAAAGCATTTTTGTCAGATAAATGCTGAAGGACCACTAGATGGGTGACGTCTACATTCACAGTCTACTTCCATTGTCTTTTCAGTGCTGGTTTACCCAAGTGACATTTTAATGAGCAGTTTAAATTGATCACGTGAAGAGAGCAGGTCGTACCATTGCATCTACTTAATTTGATTCCATGTTGGTTAATTCTCATAGGAAAGTACAAGGATCTAAATTATGTAGAGTTTTAGTGTATTGCATTTTGCTAGAACTTACTAAAATTCTGATTACAAAAGCATGGAGTATAAACCTATCAGAATAGTACAACCTGTGAGAGCCGTGATGCCCCTATAGTAACCCCTCAGCTGCACTTGTGTTTATACGTCTCTTTTGACCAGCTGGGTCACACTGTGCTTGCTGTCCTATATCCTGAACTTCACCACTAACCATCTTTCTATTTCATAATGGAGAGCTACATCATTTCTTTCAATGCCCATGTGGAGTATATGTACCAGAATTGATGGTGCATCAGTGGAGCATTTTTCTCTCACCCTGCCTTCCTTTCCTTCTCCTTGTCACTCCCCCACACTTTTCTCTCATGTTCACAAACTACTTCCTCCTGCGTGTTCTCCTTGATCCTTTTCACAGAGCCCCTTGTAAGCCACTCTCTCTCCTTTTTTCATCCTCCTCTGTGCTCATTCCTGCTCCTCATATTTCCTCTTCCTCTCCTTCTCCTCTTCTTTCTCTGTTTCTCCCTCCCTTCCTCCCTCCCTTCCTCCTTTTCGCCCCCTTTATGCTTATGAGCCTCCCTTTCCCAGGCTCGCCCACCAAACTCACTTTGTCCCACATGTTATAAACAGGGAAGAGGTTTTTAAGGACTTTGTATCTATATCTTTGTTTCCTCATCTACTTTTCTTGGACTGAAGTTGGGGTTGCTGTGACACAGGCCATAGATAGATACTTCAAGTATAGATGTATGTTGCTAAACTGTGCTATAAAAAAAATACCCTTGGAACACTGGTTAATGTTCATCTTTTTTATTGTTACTAATATAATAGACAAATGTTTGCATTTCCTTGATTCCTAGTGAGACTAAACAGCTTTTCATATCATTATTTACTATTAATATTCTTCTTTTTGTGTCTCACTCAGTTTCTGTTGCTATATCTTTTTGCCTAACCTACAGGGACCACTTGTCTCCTTTTCACTTTATTGATGAGGTTCTGGACCTGTCTTCTCTGAAGCAGTTGGGAATGTGAGGGTAGCCATGGGGGAAGCTAATCTAACCTGCTACTTCACTGGGTTCATGTCCTTCCAGCCCCCAGTACCCCATCTTTCTGCCAACTTTATCACTTAAGACAGACCGTACTAGGGCCACCTTGTTTGTAACAGTAGGAGAGTCAGGAAAGGTAAAGGAAAGAGGAATAGAAAATGTACAAAAACACCCTTGGCTGGTGTGGCTCAGTGGATTGAGTGCTGGCCTGTGAACTGAAATATTGCCTGTTTGATTCCCAGCCAGGGCACATGCCTGGATTGTGAGCCAGGTCCCCAGTAGGAGGCATGCAAGAGGCAACCAATCTGTGTTTCTCTCACACATCGATATTTCTCTCCCTCTGTCTCCCTTCCTTCCCCTCTCTATAAAAACAAATAAATAAAATCTTTTTTAAAAAAGAGAGAGAATGTACAGAAACAAGATCTGGGCCTGAGTTGAAGGGAAAGATAAAATGAAGCTTATGTTTTGAAAAATGAGAATGACAGGATTGTGAAAAACAGTTGACGGAGGCTCAGTTGCTGAGTCAGACTGGCCTAAAGTGGAGTGATAGAGTGTAGAAGAAATAGGATGGAGGGAAGATGCCAAGATGCAAGAATGAAAGAGGGAAATGAAAAAAATGAGATGGTGGTTACATGGAGTGGTGATGTTTACACAAACAAGAAGCAAATAGGATAAAAGGCTGTAGAGACCAAAGGGAGGTGAGCCCACCGACTCTGTGTAGGGTTTGGATAGGATTTAAGGAAATAGCTTAGAAGTGGGTGACATTAATGCCTTCAAATTTATGAAGATTGATAACATGCTATGGAGAAAATTAACAAAGGGCTGATTTAGAATGTAAACCTACAAAAATGAACATGGTCAACTTTGGCAGTGTGGAACAATTGGCTTTAATTTTTATATCTGTAGGGAGTGTGTGAACATACTGATTTACTGGAGTCTAGACTATCCCAGAACTCTATATAGGTAGGTGCTGGCATTTCACCTAAAGCATGCGTTCTCCTAGGGAGAAGTTAATATAATATGATCACTACATGTAAAAGGGAGATCACCTTTGTAATAGCAAATCCAGGTCATGCAGTCATCCTCTCTCAGTCCCACAGTGCTGCTGTCTTTGAGGAAAAAAAGGGCAATATAATCTAATTCAGTAATGGGACAAGTGTACAAAATCTAGAGGCAGTCAGACCTGGGACTTGCTCAGTGATGTTTAGATTTTATAGCTATAAAACACTCTTTATTACAGAAAATCCTGTAAGAAAAATCACACTGTGAGGGCAATACTTTTTAGACCCTAACCTACATTTTCTCATTGAAACAGTTGTTTTCATAAGGTAATTTTTTTCCTTAAAAGGATTTTTTCTGTTTCACTGTGTGGGATGGGAACTTTCCTCCATCCACTCTTGACATTGACCCGTTCATTGCAAAGCCGTGCCCAAGGTTTGCAGCCTAAGGTTTCTGTGGTGACAGTCAACAGTCTCAGCCCTCTTCCAGTCATTGGGCATCCACTGGGCAGAAGGGGCAGACATTGTGGAATGGATACATAGCCATCCTTTGAAAGCTTCACACCAGGAACCCTCATCACTTCCACTCAAATTTAATGGGGGAAATCTAGCCCATGGATATAGCCAGCTGCCAGGCAACTGGGAAATGTAGCCCCTGGCAGAGCAACCATTTCCTAGTGATGCCCCTCTAACTATAAGAGAGGAGAGTGAATAACTCTTTTCATCACATCCCATATGGCCAAATATATTGGGATCCGCATGTTAAAACCTGTGTGATGGCTAAACAAAACACATCCATGGGTAGTATCTGCCCATAGATAGCTAATAT